CAGAATTTTATAATTATTCTAATAAATTTTTGAATTGATGTTCAAATTGATTTTATCGACGTATATTGTTTTCTTTTATTCCTCCTCACTTCGTCTGCTCTTTGTTCATTCAGAGTTGGACTTCGGTTTTGAACTAAGGAAGATCCTGCCTGCATCATCCCTTCTTGAGTGTTAGCTGAAGACAGTCCTGCCTGCAGCATCAATTCGTGAGTGTGAGCTGATGATAATCCTGCCTGCATCATCGATTCGTGGGTGTGAGGTGAATATCGCCCTGCCTGCATCGAACATTCATAAGTGTGAGCTGAAAACGGTGCTGCCTGCATTATCTCTTCGTGGGTGTGAGCTGAAATAGTTCCAGCTTGCGTCATCCCTTCGTAAATGTGAGCTGAAAGTGGTCCTGCCTGCGTCATTCCTTCGCAAATGTGAGCTGAAGACGGCCCTGCCTGCGTCATCCCTTCGTAAACGTGAGCTGAAGACGGCCCTGCCTGCATCGAACATTCATAATTGTGAGCTAAAAACGGTGCTGCCTGCGTTATATCTTCATAGGTGTGAGCTGAAATTGTTCCTGCTTGCCTCATCCCTTCGTAAATGTGAAATGAAGATGGTCCTGCCTGCATTATCCATTCGTGAGTGTGAGCTGAAGACGGTTTTGGCTGCATCGAACATTCATAAGTGTGAGCTGAAAACGGTGCTGCCTGCATTATCTCTTCGTGGGTGTGAGCTGAAATAGTTCCAGCTTGCGTCATCCCTTCGTAAATGTGAGCTGAAGATAATCCTGCCTGCGTTATCCCTTCGTAAATGTCAGCTGAAAGTGGTCCTGCCTGCGTCATCCCTTCGTAAATGTCAGCTGAAAGTGGTCCTGCCTGCGTCATTCCTTCGCAAATGTGAGCTGAAGACGGCCATGCCTGCGTCATTCCTTCGTAAACGTGAGCTGAAGACGGCCCTGCCTGCATCGAACATTCATAATTGTGAGCTAAAAACGGTGCTGCCTGCGTTATATCTTCATAGGTGTGAGCTGAAATTGTTCCTGCTTGC